TGAATGGGGGAAAGTTGAAAGTATGCCCGCTGAGAACTGGAACAAGACAAGGGTGCCCAATGTCACCACTTCTATTCAACACAACTTCTCTGACTAGTGCTGGAAATCCTAGTCAGAGAAATCAGGCAAGAGAAAGAAGTAAAGGGTATCCAAATCAGGAAAGAGAAGGTCAAACTATCTCTGTTTGCTGATGATATAATCTTATATCTGGAAAACCCTAAAGGTTCCACCAAAAGTCTCTATTTGTGTCTCCACCTGAGATTAGGAACAGCTGGTAGACTAAACTGAACAAGGGTTTTAGAGCTAGACAGACTGGGTTCAAATCCCAGCTCTGTCACGAGCTTGTTATATAACCTTGAACATGGGTACATACGTGTGTGCATATATGTGCATGTGTGTCTGAATTATCTGGACAATTTCCCTTGCCATTTCTGCCTTGAACTTGGTATGATCTTGGAAAACTCGTCTTACCTGTTTGGTCTCAGTTTCCTTATGATTTGAAGCACTGGTACTAAATAATATACAAGAACCTGCCAAGCTAGAACATTTTAAGATTCTTTCATTCTATTTCCCTTAAATCTTCACAGCCAAGTGATGGGGATAGAGATGAGTTCTAGCCCTGGCTCTGTAACATGAGCTATTTAAACTGCACCCAAGACCTGAACCCCTGTGTGCTTAAATTTTCCTATAAATTATTAGTTTTCCTAAATTAGTTTTCCTAAATTGCATAGAAGACCTATATTTGTTGGGCCATGGTGATGATTAAATAAGACAATATATGTGAAAGAACTAAATACTTTCTTAGCCCATATAAAGTGCTGAATAATTTTTTTTAGATAAACTTTATAAGTACTCTTATTTCAGTAGAGTAAAGCCTTCACAACCCACAGTGGAGTAAAAGACTATTGGCACACACTTTAAATGGTCCCACATTGTTAAATTGTCAAGATTTTTTATCTGATTTTTGCAGTTTGATTTGTCTCCTCTAGTGCATTCAGCTATTACTTCTTAATACCTTGGTGTGTCTATTTGTAATTCGCGCTTTGCTCTTTATTGCTGTTTGCTTCTGTTCTGCAATGGCCTTGGAAGGAGGTAATTAAGTTTGTAGAGTTATACATACTCTAAGAATCGATATTCTCTGATTCTCCTATAACTAAATTGTTAGGCTCTGTGTTGACTTGATAAAAATTATTTTGTCATTACCACCCAACAACTAAAATTTGAAAATTGGGAATCATGTTTGACTTCTTCCATCCCTCTCCCTGTCCCTGTTTACACATTATGGCTGCCATTAAAGTGGTATAGGTACCACCTACAATCTCCTCACTTCCCACTCTAATCAAGCCATCATTATTACCTCTGATCTAATGCAATTTGTTGACTCCCTATTATATTTAACTCCACCTTGGGAAGAATATAAGAGTCAAGGGGCCAAGTGCAGTGGTTCATGCCTGTGATACTAGCACTTTGGGAGGCTGAGTAGGGAGGATCACTTGAGGCCAGGAGTTTAAGACCAGCCTTAGCAAGAGAAAGGCCCTGTCTCTACAAAAAAAAAAAAAAATAGAAAAATTATCCAGGCATGTTGGTGTGCACCTGTAGTCCCAGCTACTCAGGAGGCTGAGGCAGGAGGATCAGCTGAGGAGACTGAGGTTTCAGTGAGCTATGATGACACCACTGCACTCTAGCCCCAGATGACAGAGTGAGACCCTGTCTCAAAAAAAATAAATAAATAAAAATAAAAATATAAAAGAATCAAGGAACCACTGAATCAGTCCTTCTGATTTAGTTAGAACTCACCCCAATTCAATACTACCAGGCCAATAAGACAGCAATTTGTTTCTTTTGGAACTTACCGTAACCATCCATCTTTGTATTTTGTTTTCCTGTTCAGAAATGTGTTGCTAAGAGATCCTTGGCTTGGCAAGATCCACTATATTTTGCTGGAAAATCCTGGCTTTGTCCCCGTGACCACTGTTATTAAAACCTCCCAGACATCTTCAGAGGTTTCCTCACCACCACCATGGAAAGGAACTACTCTACTTTCACAGATTCTTGCAAGCTCCATGGAGGCCCATGATTACTTGTGAAAGAAAAGTACAGTCTAGTAGGTTAAGTGCCAATTTTAGGTTTGGGTTCTCTAATCATTACGCAAGGATTGCCTTTTTTCTGGTCAGACGACACCCAGGGCAGTTCTATCACCTTTAAGAAGCCTATTAGTAAGAGTATGTTCAGAGAAAATCAATAAAGATGAGAACATCAGAAACAATATCACATAAACAATGTTTAGGTGAACTGCATCAAGCTGTGATAGACTTTGCATGGGGAAGTTCGGGTTTGTGCAAGGAGGGTTAGATTTTATCCATGAATATCTAAAGGGAATTTGCCCAAGGGAAGCATGCCTAAAATGGGTGAAGCTCACAGGGCAAAGACCAAAACACAATAAAACACAAATCTACCTAATTATACACAAAGGAATGAGCACACCCTGAAATGGAATGTCAACCACAGAAATAGTTTGAGTGGAAGTTAGATAAACCATGTGTTAGGTATGTTCAAAGGAGGGCTCAGGTGCTGAAACTTTTAAGCCCTTTTATTGTGAGATGTTATGCATCTAGGCAGGCTCAAGTCTTTTCATAATGATATGCTATGACCTGTGGATTTTCCTACCCATAGAATAACACTGTGATTTCCAAGTCCCTTTCAGCCAAAATTGTTTGGGTGATCCAAGTGCCTTGAGCTCCATGATGAGAGATGCTATATAAATGTAAAGGGTAATTTTAGTCATAATAAATAATGGTAATGATGATGAATGCCAGTGTCATTGAGAAGAAGCTGGCCTGCCATTCGGGAGCCCAGAGCAACCAGCTGTGAGCTGGGAATAATGTGTGTCCAGGCTTGGAGGAGACTCAGGACTGAGACCACATTAACCTTTACACCAGAGGCCTGGATCAAGCCCCCCCAGTTTGGAAGTGTGAGCATTGTAAATGCAAGAAACAACAATACTTAATCCCTGAGCTTGAATATTGCCTTGGGCTTACGAGACCTTTTTCCAGAAAGGTCAACATGAAGCACATTGTCTTGCTCTTCCAAAAGAAGAGAAAACTGAGCAGGGCAGGGGGGAGCCAGAATTCCAAACTAGACTTGTGACTCCAGACCAGATGCTCCTTCCATTCTCTGTCAGACCCCAGACCGTTCCATGGAAGGAGAGACTTCAGCTAACTTGGATGAGAAAATGTTGAAATGGGATCATGTCCCCCAAGATGGCTTGCATAGCTGTCTTCCATCCATTTAGGATGAGAAAGCTTGCTAGTAAAATCATTGGCTGCTCAAGCAGGGGGGAGCTGGTCATTGACGTCCCAGAGCTTCTGTCTGGAGTTAAGGAGCACATGGCAGGAGCCAGCTGAGTTCTGACTGACCAAAAGAGAACACTGCTTTGGGGCCTTGGCCAGCTTGAGAGTTTAGAAAACCCTAAGTGCTGTCAGACATCTGAGTGATGCTTCTTCATGAAGGACTCGGCCTTCCAGTTTTCCCATGTGCTTAGAGGACAACCAGTCGCTATAGAGAAAGGGAAGGGACTCTACTCTGTGCCCAGTCTTCTCTGCCCTAAAACAAGCTCCATGAGGAAAAAAAAAATGGAGTCTGGGAACTGCTGAGCTAGAACGACCTGACCTGTTAGGCACATGGGTGCCTCACTTATCTTTCCTTTTTTTGCATGTGTGTGTCTATTAAAATTTTATTCTTGCAGTCTGTAGCTTTGATTTGCTTTCATTTAGCATAGTTTACCATATTTCATCATTTGAAATTTATGCTGTTTCTCTTTTTATATTTTATCATCTTTACATTTTTAGCCTTTTTAACTTATCTATCTTTGTTTTGTGCTTAGCCTTTGAAGCTAGTCTACTCTCAGCTGTTTAACATTTAATTTCTTCCTCAAAGAAATCATTACAATTTCATCTTTCTAAAATCATTCTTATTTAAGTCACTTTAATCTCTTTGAAGTTTTTTTTTTTGCTTTTTAGCATTTCTTTATCTTTCTCATTTTATCATCTCATCCACTTTACCATTTTAATATTGCTCTATTTCCTCAGTTTTCTAAACTTGTGTTTTTCTTCTTTAATACTGATTTTTTAAATTGTAAATATATTTTTCATTTGTAGCTTTTCAAATTATTTTTTCTTTTAATATTTTCACTTTATCTTGTATTCTGTTTTTTTTCCCCCAAAGGGTACAATGTCTGTTTCTATATTAAAAAGAATCATCTGTTACCATAGAAAGGGGCTTTGTTCTTTGTCCACAAAGAAACAAGTGTTTGTCAATGTTAATCCTGCTTCTCCCACATACAGGCCATGTGACCTTGGGTGCTTCATCTGACATCTGAGCCTCAGCTGCCATACTCTGAGAATGCTGACCCTTTCCAAAAGACCTCATCAGACACAGGCATCTTTTTGCCCATACATTCCAAAGGGGCATGTAGAGACTGGGTAAAGAGAAGAACTACCCCAACCGTCTCTTTTTTAGCCAACATTCCATTTAGCTAGGGTGACACACTTATTATAGCTGTATCCAGAATCCAGTAAAATATAACTGTAATCAAGATTTCTCTGCAGTAAATATTAATAAGTAAATATAAGCATTGGTCTTAACTGTGAAGACATCACAGTTGGAGCCCTGACTTTGCCACTAACCCACCAGGTGACTTGGGCAAGTCATTTGATTACCGTGGACGCCAATTTCCTTCTTTATAAAAGGAGAGTGCTGGACTAGATTATTTCCTCTGGCATTAATTTCCTATGATGCCTTAACTTTCTATTCAAAGAAACCGTGAGACTTGCATCAATATATATGGAAAATACACTGTTATTTGTACCAAACAGGAACTCAAAAGAATTTATTCTTGCTAGAATACGAAGGCCTCTCCAATCACGCCCATTGGGTGAAATGCCAAAGTGTCACCATGGCAACATAAATGCAGACTAGGTTTGGCCAGGCGCCTGACATACTTGCCGTTGATGACACCATCTGGGTTGAGCATGGGGATGATCTTGAAAATGAAGTTTTCCCTCAAAAGCCTTGCCACAGGATCACTGCTAACCAGGAACTCCAAGGCCCCCTTCATCACCCAACTGGCATTGCTCTCTCCTGGATGAACTCGGGCAGTGATCACCTGATATGGACGATGTCCTGTAGAAAAAGGGACATGAGACAATGAAACCTAAATACACTTCCCATTGCCATTAAGATAGTCTCTGGGGGACCAGATGTACACCTGGCTGGCATGAAGTTCTAAGTATGTTGATTATTTCTTATACATATCTGACCTACATTTACCCATTTTCCACCTGCCTCCATGGTCTGCAAGACTCCAGAGAGTATCAAGCTAAAGCTCAAGGCTTTAAGAGATGTATTCTGAGGCCATGTCTGGGCTGAGGTGGAAAATGTGCTTTGATTGATTAGTGATGTCTGTTCTCATACACCCAGGGAAGAAAGGAGAAGGATATGGTATCACACCAGGAATTCATCATGTCTACCATAATCCCTTGTCCAATTTTGTGGGTTTTTTCCCCTATCTTTTCCTTTTGTATCCTCATCCAATTCCTTATTGCTCCTAAACTTACTCTAATAACAAGTACTAAATATTTGCTAAGTATAAATACCCCAGCCACTAAGCCTAAAGGTTAATAAACTAGTAATTTCTTTCCATATCATTCAAATCACTGTGAGTCAAAATATGCCTTTTCTTCCCTTAAACAGTAGACTATTCTATTATTTAATGTATATTTGTGGCATACAATGTGATGTTTCAATGCATATATACATTGTATAATGATCAAGTCAAGGTAATTACCATATCCATCACTTTAAACATTTATCATTTTTTATATGATAACATTCAAAATCTTCTCTTCTAGCTATATTGAAATGTACACTACATTGTTGTCTGCTATAGTCACCCTTACTGGTAACATTAATAGAACATCAGAACTTATTCCTCCTGTCTAACTGTAACTTTGTACCTCTCCCGTTCCTTCCTTCCCCTATACTCCCTAACCTCTGTTAACCACTATTCTACTCAATATGGAAGTTCCTCAAATAATATGATCCAGCAATCCCACTACTGGGCATTTATCCAAAAGAAATAAAACCAGTATATTGAGGAGACATCTGCACTCCCATATTTATTGCAGGCACCCTGATCCTGTTTCTTGAAATTTCCATGTTATTCCCAATAGGCAAGATGTGGAATCAACCTAAATGCCCATCTACAGATAAATGGACTAAGAAGAAGATGTGAGATGTCAGATAGATAGATAGACAGATATCTAATGATAGATATAGATAGAAAGATAGATAGATAGAGCCCTATTCAAGCATAAAACAGAATGAATTCCTGTCATTTACAGCAACACAAATGAGCCAGGAGGACATTATACTGAGAGAAATAAGCCAGACACAAAAGCACAAACACTGCATGATCTCACTATCATGTGGAATCTAAATAACAGTAGCCTATTTGAGGGTACAAACTGCATCTCAAATTGTGCACAAAGAAAGAAAAAAAACATAATTCTCAGTTATAAAGCTAAAGAACAGGTGATAGAAGATAAGGAAATAAACCTTTAAATTACTAAATTGTATTATCATCAACTAAAACCAAAAAAAATCCCCACACTATCTTTCTCTTCCATATTTCTGCTGGCAGCCATTAATCCACTGAGGCCTAGATTTAAGGAGTGTAAATCAGTGCATTTTTACTAACTATGGTGAGAGCGGGTCACTCCAGCTCCTTGTGAGTCATCTACACATTGGAGATAAAATTCAGCTATGTTTTCCCTTAAGCAGGTGTCTTGAACATATTCCAGTAACTACAGAAAGCACTAAGTAGAACAAGTTGAATACATTAGAGCCCTTGTTCTCCAAGAGGCCATAGCATTTGTCAATAATGACAAATATGTAAGCAAATAATGACAAGTGAGCTAATGGAGGTGTATATAAGGCACATATGAAAAAAATAGATCTGAGAGAAGTAAAGACATTTCCAGAGACATAACTGGTATTGAACTGGGTCTTGCAGAATAAGTGTTATTTACCTGATAGAGAAGGTGAAAGGGCCTTATAAGCAAAGACAACGACACATGCAAGAAGCACACAGGCGAAGCCAATGCATTCAAAAATAAAGTTATGTGTTGCTGAAGCCAAGAGTTAGAGATGGTGTAATACAAATTTAGAAAAGTAGGCTGGTATCAAACTGGTAGGATCCCTTCTTATGTGCTTTGTTTAGGGATTTGGACTTTATCCTGTTCTCAACCATGGAGTCAGCATCTCTCTGGTGTCCCGTGACCAGTAACAGAGACTATCGCAGAAGCAGATACCATGAAAGAGTGAATGTTTGCTCATGATATTCTACACATGGCACAAAATACTGGTAGCCTGTCCAACAGCCCTTCTCTTCTTCTTTATTATTAGCAGAGTCCTGATTTTGTGGGGGAAGGAATTTGTCTAGATGAAAATACTCAGCTTCATGGATCCTCTTATAGATAGAAGTGGCGTTTGACACAGTTATGCCCAGTGAGAGATAAATGTGAGCAGAGGGTTAGTCTTTAATGAAAAACTAATTAAAGGAGATAGTTACACCTGGCAAATGCCTACTTGGTTTTTATGTCTTGTCTTTTGCCTTTCTTCCTGTTTGCACCTGCACCTAGATGTGAAAATCAAAGTCACATGCTAAGAATAGTGACCATAAATGATAGAAAGAGCCAGGGCTTTTGAGAGATTCCTTAAGCAGCTACACCACACCTTCACTGGCTTCTTCAAGACTTCTGGATATTTGAGAACCATAAACTAATATTTGGCTAGACCATTGTGATCATGTCTCTGTTACATCCTGTTACATTCAAGTCTAATGTGGATATAAGATCAGGTTTAAAGTCATCCCTGTAATAATATTACCCTGAATGACAGGCATTTAGGTGTGCTTTCTAGATTGAGGAGAAAAGAATGAAAGAGTTGTAATGAGAATGATATTTGACATATATTAATATGTTTCGGAAAAGAAGAGTTGAGAACCACTATTTTTTTTAAAATGGGGAGTCGATGATGGTTTTTCACCAGGGGAAAGATATGCCAAAGACTGTGCTTTAGAAAAAGAATTCTGAAATTATTGTAGGTAATATCTTCACCCAATCAGAGACAGCATGACGTAGTGAATTAGAGAACAACCTTATGAGCCACATTGCCAGGGTTCAAATTCCAGCCCCATCATTTTCAACCTGAGATTGGTTATGGAAGTTTTTGGAGAAATTGAGCAATGGATTTGTCTGAGTGTGTTGGGGCTGTTCTAACAGAATACCATAGACTGGGAGGCTTACAATCAACATAAATTTATTTCATACAGTTTTGGAGGCTGAGAAGTCCATGATTAAGGTGCCAGGGGATCGTGAGTCTGGTGTGGGCCCACTTTCTGACTCTTAGTTGGCTGCCTTTCACTGTCTCCTCACATGTGGAAGGAACATCCAAGCTCCCTCAAGACTCTTTTATAAAGGCACTGATCCCATTTATGAGGGCACCACCCTCATACCCTAAACAAATCCCAAAGTCCACACCTTCAGATATTATCGCTTTGGGGACTAAGATTTCAACGTGAATTTTCGGGGCACACAAGTATTTATTCCATGGCAGATTAGGTGTTCTGCATGTAAGATTAATGGCTCAGTAACCGAAACGCTAAATAGCATGTTGGGGGAAAGAGATATACAGTTAGCCAGCTGAGCGCAATTGAAATTAACTGGAGGTCAACTTTCCCACTACATCATTTGCTCACAGTCAATTTCACTCTTCCAAAGCAAGCTGTGTTGGCACGCCAGTGAAAAGCTTGTTTAGAAATAAAGAGGCTTGATGAATTTGTACCCAATCAGTATCCTATTTTCGGTTCTATAATTCCATATCAATCTCTTTGTGATTTTTGAACTATGTTCATTTGCAGTATATTGGACAACAATCGTAAGTGCTTCCAGCCTAGCAAGAAGAAACAAAAAAATAGCTTAAGTGCTTGTAAATTTTGACACTAACTGAACACTCTCATTGTCTGGGCCAGTTGGCCTCCATAGCCTGATGTGCCCAGTACAATGCAGTGCATTAGTCAGTAAGACAAATGCAAGCTGTAACACCGTGTTTCTTTCCTTCGGAGAGTCAGGTTCATAATCTACTACATTGTAAGACACCACAAGACCTAACAGGCTGTTCTAGCATCCTGGTGAAGCAAATGGGGAAAATTGTGGATTCTTGTGAAGACATAAGCAGCATTTTAGCCATTTTTAGTTGGTTTTCCTCTCTTCCCTTCCGTGATTTAAGACAACTTTGTAGTCATATTGGTGAGTTAAACTTATGGAACCATTCAGTTGTAACAGCAAATGGTACTCCAGAGAACCCATAATGGACAACAGCTGTAAATAGTATACAACTCACAGGAATGTGTTTTTTCTTGTAATTGACAATCTCAGTCTTAGTAACTCATTTTTGCTTAGGGCCAGGAAAAAACCGTCGGGTATTTCTATTTTTTTTTCCTCTGGAATTTATGATATCTCTTCCAGAGACCACCACAGTCTATGGAGGAGTCATGGTTTGGCCACATCCTAATTCTTAAATCTACCTATTGAATTTATGTCAGGAGTAATGACATCTGTAAAGAGATGTTAGGAACAAGTAGGGGATTGAATAATACCTAAGAGATATCAGGCCTTTAGGCCAATGAAAAGTTGAGTAAAAACTGAAGACATGTGTGATGATATACATGTGTACCCAACTATATAAACATCCATTCATTTATTCCTTCTTTCCTTCAACAATATATATTAAGCTCCCACGGCCACTCTGCAGGGTTCTACAGATTCCAAGAGAAATAATGGTTTTTGCCCTCAGGGAAATAATAATAGTTAGTGGAAAAGACAGGCATACAGATAATTACGATCCAATATGATCAGGGACATTTGTCAGGACATTTCCACAAGCAAGCACAGTGGAATAGTCATTAACACACAACACAAGCAACTGAGAATGACTTAAATGTGCATTGACAGGAAGCTAGTTAAGGAAATGATACATAAAACAGAATATTATGCAGCCATTAAAAATGACACATAGGTCTTTTTTCTGTTGATACAAGAAAGTATCTGTGACATAATGGT